ATTCTTAAGGGTTCCAACCAATGCGTCCTGGCAACCTAATGCATGAACACATTCCAAATTGGGGCACTGGAGCAGCAATCTTTCTGTAAGGTAAAATTTTTATGTAAGTCAATTATAAAGAAAATGCTCCATTTTCCTAAAGCTCAAACACTAAAGAGGAACATCAAAGACCAGACCTGGATTCAGGTTTGTACAGGAGTTCAGGTTCAAATCGTTCAGTTCTGGGCAATTCAGATATAACGCCTGCATCAAAATTTTGGTCAGGTATAACCTGCAATTCAATGAGGAAATTTTAGAAGTAATTGAATGAAGAATTCTCACATCTAAGCCAGAGCAGCCCCATAAGCTGAGTTTCTTCAAGCAGGTATGCTTGATAATCAGTTTTTGATATATAAGGTGCTGTTTACTATTGGGAGTTCTTTGTAACTGGAGGTCATTATTTTCCTGAGTTGTTGGATTGTCTAAATCAGGATCAGATATGGTCATACCACAGTCCATGAGCTCTAGATTAGGCAACTGAGCTGCAGCAAATTGAATGCCACCTAAGAAAATCCAACACAAATTAGTGAACAACAGGTTGCTGGGTTGGATAATCACGGAAACAGATCTGAATATTACTTGAAGTGATATTTGGACAAAGAGCAAGGAGAAGTTTAGACAACGTCTCAGGAAATATGTTGCATATCATTCCAATGCCACTATCACTAATGCTGGACCTGCGACAACAAACATCAAGAGAATACAATAATCAAGATTCGTTCCACTAAATTGGCTGCTTTCAAAAAATACAATAATCAAGATGCAGGTTTCAATAAACCATAAGCTCTGCTTTGCTTTATTTTAAAGGGCTGTACTAATTTTTGTGGATCTTCGGATGTGCTTAGAAAGAATATGATAAGTAGAAGTGAAAGACAGTAGTGTGTTGATTACTCATCATTCAGTTATTTGTTATCACCCACAGAGTGGAGGAACCACAAAAAGAAAGGGGTGGAAGGGAAACATACCCACTCAAATCAAGCAACTCAAGGCTTGAGTAGCTTGAAGCGATAGCTGCAACAGATGCATCAGTTATTTCTGAACCCAGTACAAGAGATAGCATCCGTAACCCCCTGAGGTTAAAGGCAGTAAAAAACAAATACAAGCTTTATTAAAGGAAAAAAGGTAAAGAGAAATTCATAAAATGATCAAATTGGATGAACATTGCAAACCTTAGATTTGCTGCTGTTAAAGCAAGCACAACAGCATGTGTTAGGCGGATGGAGGCAATATGAATGTTCTGGAGTCTCGGGCAGCTCCTTCCAAGACCATCGACCATGAGAGTAAGATCAGTGGTGTCATTTTCTTGGTGAGAAAAATCCAGGGAAACATCCTTCAAGTTGGGGCAGTTGAAGACCTACAGGGGTAAACACACTTCAGATATAAGTTTGCTTGCACCCCAGAAAAAAAGGAGCAGAACATCATACACTACATACCATCTTAGCATGACAATAGAGATCTGAAAGTGAAAGAGTTGAAAGACTGGTTGAGCAAAGAGTAAAACCCTCAAGATTAGAGCAACCTTCCATCTTGAGATTAGTAAGACATCTTTTCTCAGCAACAAAACGACCCAACTCATCCCTGCAATATGTAGAGATTGCATTCATTTCAGCAACTAACATGTGAACCTATATTACAGAATATTAGAATAGGCCACACCTGCAAACCAGTTAGGGGACTTTAACAAAGTTACATGAAATTACCAACACCTCCGATTCAGGTGCCAAATAAATGACTATGATGGAAAAACACATATGAAGAATTACTGCATTACATTAATTCCCAAGATTCCTGCAACTATGATTTACAGACAAGTTTTTACTTAACATGAGTTGATTCAACTCAATGTATTTCTCCTTTGGCAAGCGAAAAAGAAACATAAGTGACTATTGGGGGGTGGGGGGTTACTGCATTACATTAATTCCCAAGATTCCTGCAACTATGATTTACAGACAAGTTTTTACTTAACATGAGTTGATTCAACTCAATGTATTTCTCCTTTGGCAAGCGAAAAAGAAACATAAGTGACTATTGGGGGGTGGGGGGTTACTGCATTACATTAATTCCCAAGATTCCTGCAACTATGATTTATGAAGTTTTTACCTAACTTACTCCTCCTCCCTCCCAAACTCAGAGTTGATTGAACTCAATGTATTTCTCCATTGGCTACAAGACTTATGGCAAAAAGAAACCTAGAGAAATCATGAATGTTTTACATCTGCATCTGCCATCTAGGCATATAAACAAAGCATATATTCTGAGTGTGATCGAAGAACAGTAAGTTTCTCTTGGGCATGGAAATCATAAAAACTACTGCTTATGATGCAATACTGATTTGTGGTGGGTGATGTGAAGATAGCAGATAACATAACTGCACAAAACTAACTAGAGAGAACAACAAGAAAATCCTAAGATAACATACATATATGTAAGTGTACAGCAAATTAGATATCTAAAGCATACCCAGTGATCCGATTGACTGAATTACACATAAGTATCTCCATTGAATCCAGTTTAGGACAGGAAAATGCAATGCAGGCCAACATGGTTGCATCAATGTCACTGCAATATATACACTGTCAGCAATAATCGTTCAATTGAACATTCTATCACTGCTTAGTACACTATCATTTTCCTCAAATCCAGCCTAGTAGCCCGGATAAACCTTGCATCATATACTTATTACAATTTTTTAACGATAGTTTAAGTTTGATCATAAGTAATGATGAGGCAATCTCATTGTAAATTATCAAATGTTAACAAGTTACAATTTTTTCTTTTTATGTTCTTTTGTTTTCCTTTTTAGATAGAAAACTTTAGTCCTTTATGTTTAGTTCCTGAATAGGACTAACCTTTCCAATCTTAGAGAAAGCTTAACAAGCCCTGGACATTTCTTTAACACCGACCCGACAAGTCCAATCTGGGCATTTACGGGAACCCTAAGTCTAAGCTCCACAGCAGATTTCCAGATCCTTCTAGAAGTTTCCGACCACCCCTTACAAACCCTCGCCGATGAAAGCAACGCCGGAGGCGGTAATCTCTTAAACACTTCCCATAAACAACTCGAAGGCAACGTCCCTATCCCCGATCCGGACCCAACTAGATCCGATTCGTTATCCAGATCGGAGAACTCCCCATCGTCATCAGATCCAGGTGAATCATTAACATCAACGTCATCAAATGAAAGTGCTCGCCGGAGCTGTGGGAGTACATGGCGTTGCGGCATGGGAGGTGGCGGCTGAGGACGAACAACGGGGGGTGGGGAAGCTAAGAGTGACGAATCGGGATTGGGACTGGGATTATCAATCGGATTAAGGTTCTTAGGGAAATTGCAAACATGGCCTTTTTTCGGTACACCGCATCGGCCACAACTGTAGCTACCCCGCTTCTTGCCACGCTTTGGAAGAATAACTTCGGAGATAGGAGTGGTGGTGTAGGGATGGGGATGCCGGCCCTGCATCTCGATTTCGCCGGCAATTGGCGGACCCAAAAAAAATGTACAGTCGTTATGTGAGTTCTTCCGATCAGATTTTTTTAGAGTTATATATGTATAAATTTAGGATCCGCCATTGTTAATCGGAATCTTCCCGGCGGCGACAGTGAAATGTGTAGGTAAAATTGAGGTTAGAGATGAGTTAAAATAAAAGGTGGGAGAATGGCGCGGGAGTTTTCTGTAGTTTGGCGCCTCCGCCTAATTTTTTTTCATTTTAATACAAAATAGGTGTTTTTATAGGCTGCAATTCTATTACGTACTACTACGTCTTTTAAAGGGAAGAAGAACAACATATTCCAATTTCACGTAATTTCATAAATGATAGTCAGATGAAAATAAATGAATAATGATTACAACAAATTAGTAAAGTAATCCAAGTATGAGAAAAAATAACATAAAGTAATAAAAATGTAAATGACAAGAGCATCTCGTAGAGTACAAATTACTACGGAGTACTATTGATACGAAAGGAGAAGCTATGCATGCGGCCACTTCTTTGTTAAGTTGGAGTTGCGTCATATTCTATTTAATCATCTCTCTCGAATACATATTTGATCTATTTTTTCCTCTAATAAAACTCATCAAAGTTAACTTCTCACACCTCCACACCAAGACATTCGCGCTTCTTCACTTATGGACCACCTTAGTCTCGTCTTCCTCATTCTATCCTCTAATGAGGTCACTTCATCTTGTCCCGAATATCTTTATTTCTGATTTTATCTTTCCTAATATGCCTACATATTTATCTCAGCATCCTTATTTTTACCACTTCTAACTACTGAACATGTGGGTTTTTAAAAGGAGTTGAAGAAAAATAAAACTCCTTCTCTAAATATGTAAGTGTCATCTTAGCAAAAAAGAAGCCCAAAAAAAGTTTAATTTTAGAAATGTAAGACAAAATTAGTAGTATTTGTTTCTAACTCTATTCTTATATTAAGAAAAAAAAAAAACTACTCATTCTTAAGTAGTACTCAATTCTCAATAAACATAAAAATAATAACTTAATAAATTATACATTATATTTACTTTTTACTTAAAAAAAGTGAAATAAACTAAAGCGATAGCTTTTCTGCGAAAAGGGAATATCACATGGTGAGGGAATATCATATGGTAATTTGGATGGGAATAATTTTATTGATTTAATGCTTTAGTCCTTTATTGTAGTGCATGTGTATATTGTGTTTTTTTTTTCATTCGGTACATGTGTGTATATATATATATATCAAAACATATGAAATGATCGACGAGTATTATTTGGTAAACACAACATAAAGTTGTTTGTAATTATGTTTAGTTGAATCTTAATATTATCGTTAAAAGTATTATTATTGGAAGGTAAATATAACATTGAAATCTTTGACCAAATTCAAATTAGTTAACGTCCTTGAAATTTTTTAACGTAAAATAAATGATAATTAGCAAGATGAATATTCAATAGATATATCTACAATTGAGTCATATTATACAAGTGTTTAGTTTAATTTACTCTTTATAGAATTGAAAAAAACGAATATATAGTACAATTAGCAAGTGAAGAAGAGAGGAGATGATAGATACAATTAATTAATCATGATAATTTTAGAGAATGAAGGTCAAAATTTAAAGGGACATTCCAGAATCTTCATCCTCATCAAGGCTAGAAGTGTAAACAGTGTAGAGAGACCAAACCAAACCGAAGACTCCAAAAAGGATCCAACCAAGAAGATTATTACTGAGCCCAAATGGAAGCCCAGTTCCTTCTGTGCTCATTCTTTCATCCACTAAAGCCATTGCTGTTGGGCTAATTGTTATTGTTGCTGCACATGCTGCTGCCACTAATGATCCACATATTCCTAATTTTGACTCTCCTCTTTCCATTGAACATTTCACCTTTCCCATATTCTTCCTCATGGCTGGCAACCCTGTAAAACCAAAAATGTGAAATAGTAAGCTAAGTCAATTCGAACATACTCTTTAACATAATGTAATATTATGTGTTAAGGATCAAGTCTACACAGTAACATATGTATGCTAGAGATAGAAATCAAGGTACACGTTTGGCAGGGTTTCAATTTTCATATTACTCGTGTCATGAATTTCAACCTTCGTGCATCTATAAGTCGGTATAACTAGAGAAAGAGGGAATCACAAAATTAATGCATTCCTTCCAATTAATTATACTTATCAATACGATGATATCTTAATTTAAGAAAAGAATATTAAATAAGACAATTCGATTTCCTTTTCAAAATGAAGATTTAACTAAACATTCCAAGTGATGCCGTGAATGAATTAAGTCATTGATCATACCCATTATATCTAAGAAAACTCAACTAAAATATCATAGGTCAAGAACAAATTCAAGAAAATGATCAAATCACTAGTTCTTCATATCATTACTAGACAATCACATAACGTTATTTTTCAGTTAATTTGATGGTATAAAAATGAACGTACCAAGAACAAAAGAGGGGCGGGATAGAGATGGCTTGTGCACGAGGGCCGCACGGGGGACTAAAGAGGTTGTGGTACAAGCAGAGATGCTGGTAGCCATTGTGTTTTGTTTTTTTTTTCAGTCAGAAATGAGAAATCAGAGAGCTTCTTTATCTTCAATACTAGTACAACATCTGCTACAAACACACACCTACATTTTCGTTCAAACAACCACACAACATCGATTACTTAGATTGCACCTCATCTCTTACTACCCAACAGTAATATGCCAAGTGTCCTGCCTTATTAAAAAAAAAATATAAAAAAATAATATATATATATATATATTAAATTTGTCTCTCAATAACAATCGATATTTTCTATAATAATATTTTGCTTTTATACCTAAAAGTTATTAAATAAACAACGTTGTCATAAGAAGGTTTGACATTTCCTTTGTTTCCGAATATTCTCATGATAACAGTTTTAAAATCAGTGAGAGTTCTATAGACCAATATGAGTACTCTCATTTTCCACTATTAATATATGACGATTATTGAGCATAAACGTATACTAATAACGAAAAGAAGAAAAATAAGTTGCTTGAATTATCCTAGGTAATTTATTAAAACAAAAAATAGATTGTCAATGAGAAAAACTAAACTCATATGTAGAAAATGGAGAATATTGAAAAGTATGTGAAACTATGTTTTGCACCGAGTTGTTAATCGTGACTTTGAGTACTATTGTTATTTTTATTTGCGCGATACTGAAACTTTTATATTAATAATAACAATCGCATCGTTTAATTTGAGCGACAAATTCTGGCACAATACATCTATATAATGAAGAATAATTAGAAACATGAGTTGAGCATTATATAATGGAAAATATATAATCACTTGAAAAATTTACCTAGATAGACATTTTATTTTATCATAATCTCTAAAATTTTCTACCATTTAAAAAAAATTCAAAATCCCCTCTTAGATACATTACTCCCTTCTCACTGATGCATCCATATCTCCATCTCTGATACATCACTCCTCTCTCGTTGATACATCTTTATCTCCCTCTCTGATACATCTATTCCCTCTCTGATACATCTCTATCATCTCTAAGACATCCCTTCCCTATATATCCGGATGTCATATCCCCTCTCTGATACATCATTTCCCTCTCGGATACATCCTATCCGGATGTCCTATCCCCTCTCTGATACATCCCTCCCTTCTCTGATACATCCCTCTCTTATATATCCGGATGTCCTATTCCCTCTTTGATACATCACACCCTTTTCGGATACAACCCTCCCCTATGTATTTGGAGGTTTGCTGATGCATTCGGAATCTAATAAATTTTATAAGATTCTTGTAATTTGAAAAATAGTAGATAAATAATGTAATTAACTCTTAACACTATAAAATTTATGTAAATTATACAAATTATACTGTATTGCAAAATTTTAAAGATAGTTCAACATCATTCTTTACTTTTGAGTAATGGTGAGCAACACATAATTTTAATTAGCTGGTTACTAAAACTTCTTAGGACAAAGAACTTCCCTATCTGCTATATGATATATTTTTAAAAAAATATCTGTCTATATATCTAAATTTGATAGATTTTCCTCGACACAATTAACAGAAATTTCACGAATTTCTTGATGGTAGAGTTTGTGATGTCTTATTATAGAAACTATCTAATTGTACAAACATTCACATCATACTTATTAAATATTTCAATAGTTTAAAATAATGACACTTATCTTACTGATTAATAATTTCATACAAGGTTTTTAAGTCAGATACAATCTTGATACATGTTTTTTGCTACCAGATTCACTGAAATAGGGAGAGAGACGAGCAAAAATAAGAGGCAAACAAGCGAAATTTGTCTATGTATTTCATATACATGTGAATCACACTAGATGTATACTAGATAGATATATTTGGTGTGATTCGCATGTATCCAGGATACTAGATACGTGAACGAGATGAGAGAGAGGTGAGTGAGATTTGTCTACGTGTCTCGATACATGTGATTTCACTTGGATATACACTATACTTAAAACAAATTATACGTAATACCCTATGCATTTTGAGATAGATATATTTGGACGCACCAAAATCTGGAAGATTCATAAATTGCAAACTAGCGTGTATATAGTAATTAGTTTCTAAACTAGTGAAAGTTCTGTAAGTTACCATTAAATATTGGTGTTATGCTGTCAATGGGCCTAAGAGAGAATGTTAGACTATTTATTAATTTATGTGTGACTCAATTAATATATTTAAAGCTCATAATTAATTTTTAATAAAAAATAAATATCATCTATTACATCAGGTACGTCCATCATCAGTTACTTGATGGACGTACCTGATTAAGCTCAGGCTTCTATAAATTGATCCTTACTTCTTCATTAGGGTTATAACATATTCTTTTCATTTTTTCATCACTAACGGCGGCCAGGGCAAGGTGGTGACCAAATTTTCAACCAAGGATTTTGCTAAGTTCTTATCACCAGGTATGCTTTCTATGAAAAATTCTATATGAGATTATCATGTTCGAGATGCTGATTTGTACGTTGAATATATGTGATAATTTAAACGTTTGTGTTTGAAGTATATGTTTTTTTTTTCAACTATGAGATTTAACTGAAGAAAGAGAATATGTTTTTTTTGATATCTTTGTGAATAAAAATTCAGATGAAAGTTTTTCTTAGATCAAAATTATTAACTGAGAAAAAGTAATCAAATAAACTTCTCCAAAGGCTCCAAAGAAATCATTCTAATAAATTTATGATAGGTGCACCACCAGTCAATCTAGTAATCCTCTATATATTTACCACATCATGCTAAATAGAAAAATAGCTAGCCATTAAGATTATCATCCAACACAATTAATTACTGAGATACGATCTAATTCATTTATTTTGTTTTTCGCTTAGTCTATTACTTAACGAGTTATTATTTAAAATAAATTTATAACTAATATTTCTATTTTTACTTTACTTTATTTAATTTCAAAATAATTTGTTTTAGCAGATTAATTTTTTTTCAACCCATTTGATATGAAATTTAAGTAATTGATTTATCTTTTTAAACACTTGAGAGAGCAATGTTAATTAGTTGTTGGTGCATATATACTTTTTGTCACTTTATTTGATCAGAACACACCATTCAAATCAATATTCACTATTTATTTTTAACTATCCTTTTTTTTAAAAAATATATGCTTTTGTGATGATTATAATCACTTGCTACTCCTTTTTTATATATGTAAATTTCAAGTATGATTCATTTAGAATATCACGCTACTTATAGAAAAATAGTAAATGTTCTTTTTAAGTATAAACTAAAAAACACTTTTAAAATGTCCATTTTAGGTAACTTATTGAAATTCATTAATAATTTTCATTTTACATTTTGAATGAGCAAATTTTTTAGATCTTTTTTTCAAGAAACTATTTCAGATATTTTTTCTATTAATATATTTTGTTACCTTAATATATATTATAGATATTTTCACACGTGTTTAAGCCACATAAATTTTATTATATGTATAGCCCTCATAATTGTATTCAATCAATTTTTTCTCATTATTGAATCATACATCTTTCTTGTTATTATATTTAATATAAAGTAATTTTATCTATTGAATTAAGGTCAAGATATACGTTTATATACTCTTATATCTTCAAATAAAAACCTATAACAAATCAAATATAAATATATTTTTTTTCTTGAATGAGGACTGGGAATTCTTAGCTAATGTTTTGACCATATATTAAATTTATCTTCAAATATTTTTTAAATCATGAATTTCGAATTAGTTTTTTAGTTCATAAATCTTCAACCTTTTTTCACAAATAATATATATATATATATATATATATATATAGATGACGAGACAACACGAAGTCTAAAAGAGTTCATGGAAACCGCTTCTTCTAGTTCAAGTCCCAAAAACATAATTTCAAAAACTCATACATCATTCTTATGTATGTTTTAAGTTGGGGGTGTTCAAAATTGAGTAAATTTTGGGTTTAGCAAACATAAAGATCATATTTGTATAATATATCTATAATTTGTATAATTGCGCGCCATAACAAATTTTATGTTTGCTATGGAGCATCAGATTTGTATAAATCGCAGACAAAACATTCGTTTGTATAAAAGCGCAACGATTGTATATGTATATCAGTTAGATAATTGTATATATGTAACTACTATGTATATGTATCAATGATTGTGTTTGTATATCTGCATAAAATTTGTATTTGTATACAATTGAATCGAAATAAAATATTTGTATATCAAATCTCTCTATATCTCGCTTTATACAACACAAATTATAAATTGTAATTTGTATAATTTGTGTTTGTATAAAGCGAGAAAGAGAGAAAAACAAAAGAAGGCTGGTAGGGAAAGATCTGTATGTATATAATTATAAGTCTATATGACGAAAATATATGTATTTGTATGTGTATATAGAGTTTTTTCTCGCATTATACAAACACAAACACAATTTATACATTTGTGTTTGTATAAAAGTGAGAGAGGCGAGGGAGAGTGGTGAGCAATAATTCTAGGGAGAGAGGCGAATGGCAAGTGTTTGCTACATATTAGAATTAAATGAAACTGTGGTTATAACATTTAATTTGAGTTAATAGTTTGCTATTTTATACAATTTTCCCTTCAAAATTTGGGTAAAAAAGGAATCAACTCAAAAATAAAACCAAATTGATTAAATAAATCAATTTTTTGGGGTTTTGTTTGATTTGATTTTACATTTTTAAAATCAATAATGTTTTGTTTGAGTTTGATTTTGTTAATTTTTTTAAGAAATAACCGAATCAAACCGACAAATTATATACATATTTTTTTATAATTATTTATATATATAATATAATATAATATAATATAATATTATTTTTACGATAATTTTTTAATAACTTTTATATATTATCATTAAAATTTAATTACAATTTATTAAAAAGGCCAAAGAGGATGGCAATATATTGTTGGTTTCATGTAGTGCATGATAATTTTTGGCGGGACTAAAAATGTCATTGTCTTTTTCTTGTCCCACCAAGAACTGTTATAGACAATCATTTACATAAAATCAATAAAACAAATACTTTTGTCTTGAGGTTTTTGCCTTATAAATAAATTATAACTAAATTTTGAAATATATATAAGATATTAATTTTTTTTAATAAAAAAAAATATATTATGTATGTAGAATTATAAAATATACGCATATAATTTATTCATTCCGTTCGATTTTTGAAACAAAATCAAAATCAAATCAAAGTTTATCATTTTTTAAAAATGTAAAAATAAAACTAAACTAAACCCAAATAAAATGAATTTATTTAATCGATTTGGTTTGATTTTTCGATTTGGACCAATTTTTATTCAATTGTGAACACCCTAATTCTAAGTATGATTCATTTACAATATTTCGATACTTATAAAAAAATATTAAATGTCCACATTAAGTACTAATTAAAAAATACTTAAAAATTATCTACTTTAGGTAACCTATTGAAATCATCAACTGCTCGTCTTATAATTTTATTTTATCTTTTTACATTTTTGAATGAGTAAATATTTGGCGTTTGTTCATTTCAATCTTTTTGAAATGTTGTAAAAGATTTTCGAAAACGTATTTGTTTAAGCCTCTTATTTGTTAAAAAACAATCAGGAAAATTGTTTTTTTTTTTTTATAAAAAAAATATATCATGTTGCCTCTATATATATTATATATATTTTTCACACGTATCACAATCGTATTCAACAAAAAAACTCTCATTAGATCATATATCTTCCTTGATTTATTTAAAATATTGAAATAATTTTATCTACTGAGTTAAGGACAAGGTATATAAATATATATACTCAAGTATCTTCAAATAAAAGTTATAACAAACCAAATATAATTATCTAATATTTTTTCTTAAACAAGGATCAATTTTTTAGCTACTATTTGACCAAATTTTAAAAATCTATCTTCAATTATCTATTTGTCTTAGTCAATTTCTTTTTTCACAAATGAAATATATAAATTTAAGTTCCAAAAATACAACAAAAATTTATAACCTGCCGAAACCTTAGCTAATTAACATGCAGACATATAATTAGATTTTTCATTTAATATGCCGTCACCTATTTTAATCTCTATTCACAATCGACGCACCTTATTCTTTTTAGAACAAAATACTTATAATATAATTTCCTAAAAGAATACTATAAAAGTAAAACCGTAAAAATAGAAAAAGAGTAGTAGTAATAAGTATATAGCAGTGTGTCCGTAATATTAAAGAAGTAGGGAAAAAGTATTCTGTTTAGTTCACGCCATTGTGAAGTCGAAGCCTTTTCTCTCGATTTCAACTCCCAAAAAAACCCACAAGAAGAAGAAGAAGATCATCGACGACCTTAATCCGCCACCCCACCCACCCTACCTGTTCTACCCCCAATCTATCACCGACCCACGTTCCCTTTTCCCAAATCAAATCGACCCATTTGCTCAAATTTCAATCTTTTTGACCCAGATTCACACTTGTCCTTTTCTGTTGTGTTGTATTAATTGCAGAGGGAGTATTGTTTGATGATTGTTGGTTCTGTTTTTGGGTTTAATGCATATAAACAAAGGGGGGAAATCAATGGACGTAAATTCCGTTGTGTTCATGAGGTGTTTGTAGCATGCACTGATTGAGTTACGTGGGGTTTGAAGGTATAAAGAGGGCTGAATTGGATTTCATTCAAACTCGACTGTTGGAAAGTGGAAATGCCGAATCAAGTGGTGAAAGTGAAGAGGGAGAAAATTGCGGCATGCATTACATGCCCTCTTTGTCATAAGCTATTCAGAGATGCTACTACTATTTCTGAATGTCTTCATACGTGTAAGTCCCTTTCTCTCTATCTGTTTCTATGGCTTTTGGTCAATGTCAGCTATTCGAATTTTGAATTTTCGATCTGGGTTTGCTTTATTTGGTATCAGTTTAGCAGGATTCATGCGTTCCAACATCTGGGTGTTTTAAGAGAATTGTGTATACAATTACCTCTTTGTCTGTAGAGTATTTGAATGATTATATCGTTGTTTGCACATTTGGTCAATATCTTGGTTTTATCAACTAAGTGGAACGAGTCTTCTGTTTGATTGATTTCATTTAAATGGGTTTCGCGTATTTACTCAGTGGTAGATGAATTAAATCAGCAGTTTCTGATTTATATGGAAATTTCCTGTTCAAGATATTTGCTAGATGCTGTTCTCACAGAAGTGGCAGATGCTTGGTTCATCATGGATAATTGAGCTGCAATGAGATGTGGTCAAGTGGCACATGACTTATTTTCATGCTATATATATCTCTTGAAAGGGTTCATTTGGAAAATTCTAATAAAATGTATGTGTCATTTATGGAATCATTTCTAGAAAATTATTTTTTTTGTGATCATATTGCGAGGAGCATGCTTTGATTTCCCTAAACAGTGTATATTGTCGTATGAAACCACATGTTTTGATAAATGAATTAAACTTCCTTACATTCTTTTCATTGCTCTTAAGCAGAAAATCTCTGCATTTTGGTTTGGGCAATACTGACACTAGCTTCTGTTGTTTCAAGAAAAGATGAGCTTTCCTTCTGTGCTAATATTGTTTCTGGAATTCATCCAGTTTGCAGGAAATGCATCTATAAGAAACTCTCTGATGAAGAAACTGAATGCTGTCCAATATGCAATATTGACTTGGGATGTGTCCCATTAGAGAAATTGAGGTCATATATTTTTACTATCGCTCGTTTCATTTTTTCTGTTAATCCGAACGTCCAAAGGTGTGCTTAAGTGTCAATTGACATATTGATGTAGATAGTTCTAGTTTTGCTTTTGCGTTTTGTTCAACCACATGGAATCTCTAGCAACATATTACACTTTTGATTGACTTCCTTCTGTAGTTCTGTTAGCCTATTAAATTTAACAACATGGAGTGTACTGCATGTTCAGCTCCAGACTGCCTTGTTCTGTTGTCCCTCTGAAGTTTGATATGCAACAAGAAGTTAGAGGCGTCTTGTGTGAAAGATATCAGGTGGCAATTTTAGCTGTATAGATTCTTAATGATTATTTAGTTAGAGAGGCCAAATGCCTGGCTATGCATGTAATACCTTCTTACTTTCCTGCTTCTTACTTTTTATTGACCTAACATCAATCAATGATGAATCTGAGAGCAACACGTTATGCTCACTGGAGGTTGAAATTTCTATTAAGTATTGAGATTTTCCCACTTTTTCCCACCACAGTTGCTTAACATAGTCCATCTCCAAATAAGCAAGACTACAAGTCGTTCATCGATATTTCACATATATGAGTTAGGATCTGAAGAATGCTGAGCAGAGATCACAGTGCAGTGCTAAGCAGGATTGTCACAATTGAGTTAGGATTTCACTAAGAATACTGAGTAGAAAATAGAAATCACAGTACTCTTCCATGTTTGTGCTTTGTAGCTATGATTTACTAGCAGGTTATAACTGAACACAAGGCAAAATTTTGTATTCACTTTAAAAGTAGATATGTGATAATTTTATTATCTGACATACCCCACATGTTAATCTATCTTTCCTGTTTCTTCTCATTTCAGGCCAGATCATAATCTGCAAGATATTAGAGCAAAGATATTCCCTTACAAGAGGCAAAAGGTGCAGGCACCTGAAGTTGTGCCTTCAGTTACCCCTCCAATCAGGAGAAAAGAGAGATCATTATCATCACTAGTGGTCAGTACTCCAAGAGTATCAACACAGACTGGAACAACAGGAAGGAGATCGAAATCAGTGGCAAGAAAAGCATTACGAGGCTCCACATTTTCTGTTGAGAAACCTGTCAGAAAAGAGGGAAGTTCTGGAGAAGATCAGCTGGATAGCGCTAGTTCACCTGAGACTTTGAACAAGTTCACTCAGAACATTAGGCAGGTAAAGTCATATTCTTTGATGGTGGTGTGGTGCCTCATCTTAGGCTTCCTTGAAATCTTTTTTGTGGTTGATGTCAAGCATATATAGGTAGTACACTTAATCATGCCTCTTTTGCAGAACTCTTCCAGTGCTGAGCTATTTGGCCAACCCACACCTGATAACGAAACAGAGAATGGCATGGATCTGTGGGAAGGTCAAGTTGATTTGTGGAAACCTTTGAACTGTTTGGTGGAAGCAGCAAACCGGAGCAAGTCTGCGAAGTTTACTTCCCCAGGTTCTACTGCCAAATCTGAATATCTGCATTCCCTTGACAATGAGGCTCATGTCCGTAAAAATAAAGTGAAAAAACATGGACTGGAAACCAAAGTCCAGGATAACAAGAATAACAGTGGACCTGCTCATTTGGGGTCAGATAAACCTAAAAAGATGCGGAGAAATAGCCAAAAGAAGGCATCAGAATCTGGTGGATTTAGTATTTCACCACAAACTGTGCTGGATGCAATCGCTACCAAATGTGAAAGGAGGAATAATCCAATTTGGTTCTCGTTAGTGGCCTCTGAAGATCGGTAAGAATCTGCCTTATCTTGTAGATTTTGTTATAAAAAAATATCTTTTCTGAGAAAGAAGTTGTATTTCTAAATGTTTCTACTCCGATTTTTTTTCAGGGAGGGCGATGCACCATTGCCCCAGATTTCTGCAGGTTACTTGAGAATAAAGTAAGCTTATTTGTGATATCATTCCAGACTTGTTGTGAAACAATTTATCTTGAGATGCTGTTTCTGTCTAGGCTTAGCATTCTTAGTTATGCTCCAATTATCGGAATGAATTGCACAAAGAATGTCTATAGCTGCAGGAGTAGATACTTAAAGCCTTGATATCTTTTGCACCAACTATGTGTTAAGAGGGTGGAGAGGGGGTCACATACCATTTCTTCTTTCGAATTTTGAATGTAGACACTACTGGTCTCTTTTGGTTGTAACTATGACATCAGCAATTTCTTCTAGTCCCAAGAAAGGAATAAGAACTAATAACTGCACGTAGTCTTGTTCCAAGGGTACGGAGACTAGATTTATATTGGCAAAGCTTTAAAACTGAGTATATTTATATGCCATGAGGACTAGGTTAGCATTTGATTTAATCCATTAAATTTGAGCATTTAACAAGCTGATCTACACACATTTTGGAATGGTAGGCATGCATCAGGTGGGATCAAATTGCAGGTGTACCACAAAGACTAGGAAAGAAAGATATAACCTAGATTAAAGTTGCAAGCATTTTGAATTGAAAATTGATACTAAGTTACTAACTCTCGTTGTTAATTGCTAAATATTGGACTAACGAGTTCTGATAGTAAGAGGCGTCATGATCCAGTCTTATCTGTTCTCTTGTGATGAGTTGGGATTAAAGTTGTCTAAAGAAGTAAAATCCTGTATCATATTTAGGGTCCTGGAATCTTCTACCATATAAACCAGTACACATTTAGTTGCTAGTAAATATTTGTACATGTCTTCCAACCTTTCTATTTCCTTTTATCATGGTCTCTGATAATTGATTGTTGTCTAATTCTGCTTATTGTGGTCTTTTACCACTGCTGTTTGATGTCTTCTCCAACGCATCTTCATTTACTATTGGTTGGTTGACCTCTTTCTTGTAGCATGATATCATATGAGGGAATTTCTCATCCTGTCAAGGATGATTCTCTCCAATGAGTTAGACAGCTTCTTCTGTTCCATTGATTGATCCTGTTTGTCTATTTGAAGCTAACTCGTACTATCTTTCCCTTACTTGAAGGATTTTTTTGAACCATTAAGAAGCTGGTTTATCCTTTCAGCATAAGTGGTTTAGGACAGTGTTCTGTAATAATGCAACTAGTTAAGTCAAATTCCTGTTGTTCAACCTACAAAATTTGCTTGAGTGCAAGGTAAAAGATACATGGATGTGACTACAATGGTGCTTCTTGGTAGAACTGATCAAGGGGGACTGAGCCACTCAACTAACACCATAAGCTTCTCCTCTTTGTTCCGTTAGGGATAAGCTGAGATGGCATATCTGTGTCTCTGAGGCTCCTTGGACGACCTTGAAGATTTATAGCTGTATACTGCATGCTGTTTTGCAAACATTTTTAACCATTGAGCTTTTGGCTTTGGCGATCCTTTTTTCCCCTTCACTTGTTATATAGCAACTAAAGTATTGCCTCTTTAGAAATATCTCACATATAATTTCTTACTTACACTATCTCTCCAATGTTGCCATGTATTGGTAATCTTCTCAACATATTATTGTCTCAGTTTTTGAATTTGAAAATATTGAATGGGATGTAATACTAATAATCCACCTTTTACCAATTTCTTCTGGTATTATGAGTACCACCATCAATCCATTCTGATTTTCTATTGTTTGGTTGGTCTTTGTTGAGATTGAGAGGGGAGGGGCTATAGGAAGGTCAAGGGAAAAGTAGAAAAACTAATTAACCGGAAAAAATGGATTATTTTGTGAAAAGAACTTTTGGTCCTATAAAAAGCGGAGCACTAAAATTAAGATTAATTTGTCTGCTAATAGAAGGATACAGGCACTAGTTTAGCGTTTTGAGAGTGTTTGGACATTTTCCTTGATAGTATTGATAATGGTATTCATGTTCTGTTTCATTCTGTTGCAGGAATGGCAATGTTCCTGTTTCTTACATCCAAAAGTATCTGATGAAGAAGTTAGATCTTATCAGTGAAGATGAGGTATTTTGTTGCTCTTTGGCTGTCATTTAGCACTTAGAGAATGTTGTCAACATTTATGCACTAAACAATCCAACATTATTCTGGTTAAAGTTCAAATTTAATATGGAGAGGGGTGATTTTTTTGTAATTCTTTGTCCTGTTAGGTGTGATTTTGGTCTAGTTGGTTTTGGTCCTTTTGGAAGTAGGGAGTAACATGTCTTACGTGATGTCCAAAGGGAATATGTGGCATCTGCGAGTAAGTTATTTTTCAGATATACTGTTTATTTTCTTTCGAATTCAGAAGCGAAAAAAGCTGTAAAGAAGTGTAGAAGTTGGCGAAAAACAGCATTTTGTGTTACACCATACATAACAAAATTAGTAATCCGTGTTAGTTTTAATATTGGAAGAAGGTAGCGGTTTCAAGCGATTTATACAAATGGAAGCTGGACTATATCAAGTCGTTAATGAGTTTGTACTAGAAAAGATCTGCACAGCTTTAATTAGTTTTGGTTCTAGGGTCTATCAGTGACTGGGTTTTTCTAAAGGTTTATTGTATTTCAGAACAAGTGAACATGAAGTCAAGCAGGTGAGTTTCAGGGTGTTGTGTTTTTATGATGTGGGTGTTATCCTGGGAAGCATCTGTAAGTGACAACTGTGACTGATACCATTTGTCTTTCTTGGAAGTAAACTAACTGTTTCACCTTGTATCCTTCAAAGGAGGGAAAGTGAGATTGTTGCACCCAAGGGTGTGGACTGGTTGTCAATGAAGTGGGTGATTTCTTCCCATCTGCCTAAGCTTTAGTGGGCAGAATTACCTGGTATCTGTGCTGGTGGGAGGTAACAGGTACTCGGTGGAATAGTCGAGGCAGACACTGCCAACATCTAAAAATGAAAGAAAGAAGAGAGACTGTTATCCTCGAGTAATTCCAATGTAAAAAACATATCATGATGGTTCCAATTTTATACTCTGCTGACTGTTTATGTTGTTTTGTAGGTTGAAATTAGATGTATGGGCCAGTTGATAGCCCCCACTTTGCAAGTGAATACTTTGGTAGATATGTGGCTTGAAACTACTACACCAGAAAGCGTGCCAGTTATTACTGGTTCATCAGCGAAGGATTTTGTGATGGTGCTGTCATATGCTCATAAGGTCCCGGTCCCTGTCCATCCAGCTTCTTGAGTTGTCCTTTCTGCCTTCAACAATCCATGTAATATCTGGCATAAGTTGAAGTATTAGCCGATAATGTGTCCCATTATAAGATCATAAGTTATTTTACAACTTCTGCTGCTGGAATTGTCACAAATCATCAGCAAATGAGCAAAATGCCCTTTGACAGGGTGCTGAACAACTGAAGCTTACCTCTTCTTGCTTTCGTCGAGCTACTTTGCGTTTCTCTGATGTTGTATGGTTGTACACTACCTTGTACTTTCACAAGGGATGAATTTTTGAGAGAATTTTCATTAAACTACCAAGATTCATGGTAGCATGTTCTTAGGTCAAAACTATTATGTGTGTTTTCTCAGTTTGCCCTTGTTTGGGCTTGTCTGTTGCATGCTTAAGAAATAGGTAGTGGATATGATACTTTGATTTCACAATTTAGAAAGTGCAACAAGTTAAACAGTATAGATTTATTTCAAGTGAAAATTTTACAACTTTATAAGTATTACCTTTTGTATTTTCTTTTTGCTCTATACTACACAACTTTTGGATTTCAAGTTCTTTTCATATATCTTTTTGTTGTCTCAACTAAGACTAGGATTAATGAAAGTAAAATAGTATCATCAAGGCTGATATTAAATGACTATCTAAACTACTACCTTACCTTGTTGGTGTTCGATAAAAAAGGCTAATAAATGATTGAACAATTATGCAATATTAGTAGGTGAGTTGTTATGCATGCAATAAACAAGAATGTGGGAATCGTTATGATTTGAGTGGGATAACTTAATTGTAATTTTCCTAATTAGTATACTCGTTTTGGTTTTAATATTTTATAATTCTTTTCACATTAAATACACTTGAAAATAATTGCTACACCATATGATGTTATCATGGCTTTTTACTAAAACGAGGTCATATTTCAAATTTAATCTTCACTCATAGATTTTGGAAGTTATTTTTAAATTTTTTCCCTAAATATCTATTTGATCATAAATTATTTTTTGAGATTTAATCATAAACTTTTGAGAGTGGTTTTTTAAAAAAGTTCCTTAAATATCTATTTCAATCTTAAAGTTTTGATCTTCATCCATAGATTTGGAGCAGTTTTTTGAAAATTTCCTCAAGTAAAATTTGATCATAAAAACTAGTCTTCACTCATAAATTTTGGGAGTTATTTATTTTTTAAAAATCTTAAATATTTATCTCCATATAGATTTTGTAAGTAAATATTTGTTTGACCATAAATTTTAAAAGTAATTTATTTATTTTTAAAAAAATTGATCATAAATTTTGGAAAGTGGGTTTTAAAGATTTTTTTTAAATGTTTGTTTGACCATAAAATTAAATTTGATCAGATTTAAAAATTATGATCTTCAATTACAGATTTTGATAATAGTTTTTGAAATTCAATCTTAAAAATAAGTAATTTTTAAAACAATTTTCTTGAATATCTCTTTGGTCATAAAGTAAAGTATCATAAAAAAATTAATCTTCCGTCATAGATTTTGAAAGTTGCTTTAAAAAAAAATCTCTAAATATGTGTTTGATCATAAAAAAATCTGATCTTCAATCATAAATTTTGTGAGTAAATTTTTTTTAAAAATCTTAAATATTTATTTGTCCATGAAATAAAATTCAATCTTAAAGTTCTAATCATCAGTCATAGATTTTGAGTAGTTTTCAATTTTTTTCCCTTAAATATCGATAAGGTCATGAAGTAAAATTTGATCATAACAAATTGGTCTTCACTCATAAATTTTGGAAGTAATTTTAAAAAAATTTCCTTTTAAATATCCATTTTTGGACATGAAATAAAAAATTTTTGATCATAAAAATCTGGTCCAGTCATACATTTTGGGAGAAGTTATTAAAATATTGACCTCAAATATATATTTGATCATGAAGTCAAATTTGATAATTAAAAATTGATCTTTAGTCATAGATTTTGAGAGTACTTTTTAAAGTTTTTCCTTAAATTATCATTTTGACCATCAAGTAAAATCTGGTCAATAAAAATAAATTGATCTTCAATTATAGATTTTGGAGTAGTATTTAAATATTTATTTGACTGTGAAACAAAATATTAATTTTAGTCAAAGATTTTGAGAAAAGTTTTTCCTTAAATGTCTTTTTGACCATGAAGTAAAATTTCATTATAAAAACTTAGGGATCTTTAGTCTTAAAAATATATGTCATACTTTTTTTTTTTCAATAAATTTGATAGAAGTACAGTTTCAATGGCAGAGAAAAATCACAAATTAAGAGTTAATTTGATCTCAAAGAACATAAGAAAACTAGTATACAAGGGACAAGAAATAAGAAGAATATTTCAAATGAATGATGAGGTTGAAGTTGGAAGTGAAGAAAAAGGGTATTTAGGTTCTTACTACAAAGCAACTATTCTTTACCCTGTTGGCACTTGTAGTGATTACAGAGTCAAGTACAAGACTCTCGTGAGTGATAATGATCAAACCACGCCACTAGAGTGGTTTATACGTGCCTCTGAGCTCCGTCCTGTTCCACCTGAAATTCCACGTGAAACAAAGCCAATGGAAACCTACGATATCGTTGATGTGTATGACAATGAGGGCTGGTGGATTGGGGTCATAACTGCCAAAGTTGAACAAGAGTATCGTGTCTATTTTCCTACTACAAAGCAGGAGATTGTATATTCTGCTTATAAGTTGAGGTTTCATCAAGAATGGTCTGATGGCGACTGGAAATTTCCTTCACTTGGTTAAGGATACAATATTGTTGTTTTTTTACTTCATTCTGTCATTCTAGTGTGCTATGAATTTACTTAGATCATTTCAAGTTTAATTTAGTCCGCAACATATTATGTATGCTGATCATCCAATATATTTCAATAAAAGATTTTGGGAGTAATTTTAGTCTTCAAATATTTTTCAAGTTTTCGAATTTTTGAACTTTCACTAACAAAAAACTTTTAATCTTTTAATCCAATAAAATTCTATGTCCAAACACAACTTCACATGTTAAAATATCATAAATATAGTTAATTACATGTTTAAATATTAGTGATAATCAATTATTACATTGAGTAAATGGAGAGTTTATATGTTCAAAGGAGGATTGTTTACTCTTTCAGATTTTAATGGAGGTTCATTGCATAAATTTAATATTGTTAAAGTTGTTCTCTTTTATCTATTTTAGCCCTTTGAAACCTTCAAATAGTATTTAATTTAAAATTTTAAGATGTCTTTTGGTATTACTCTATTTTTATCTATTCATTTTTTTTTTGTTTCATGAAACTCACATCCAAAATTATCCTTTTCATTTTATAGTTAAAGTAGTGAAGTCATCAACATCTAAAGTATATGATATATCTACATTAGTCTGATTATATATCACTTTACGAAAATAAAGTGATTTTTCTATTTGATTCATGCTTTAGTTTGACTCGATGGAGAAGACTTTTGAATTTTAATTGGATATGAGAGACAGTGTCGACAATAACTTGGAAAATTATGTACCGATTTTGTATTTCTTTTTCATTTATATAATGTTATGATTAAAGTCTTAAGAATGATGCATGCTATTTTTTTCTTCTATGTTTATTTTTTTTTATATTTCTCTATTAGTCTTCTTTAATTTAATTTTCTATAAATTATTATCATAACATTTATTTGAGATTATTGCATTTTAGTACTCATTACACACATATTTTCATTGAATTTTAATCGTCCTAACAAATTTATAACATATTACATGAGACACACACACGTTGCACGTGTCCAGAAACTAGTATCTCAAAAATATAAGAATCATCAAGAATTGAACCTTAATGGCTTTCATGACCAAAGGTTTTTAACATTTAGATTGAGAGTTAGTTAAAATGAGTGATCCACAAAAAAATGAATATAAGTGGGAATTCCAGTCTCTTTTAACTGAAGTAATACAAACAAAACCCAGAGGTCAAAATTATAGGAATTGAAAGAATATGTTGATACATACAGCTTTGTATCCCAAGATTCACTGTACCCAGAAAATGAAATCAGTGAATTCATCTGTTTCTGAAAGCACAACTTTAAAAGATGTCCCCTTTCATTCTCAAATGCAAAATGAGTTGAATCAATTGAAGAAAAGGGTTAAAGACCCTTTGAGTAGTAGTAACAAGTTTTGCTTTTGCTGCAGTAGAAGACACTTTATGGCAGCTGCTCTATTGCCTATTCATCCTTCCCATGCTTCTGATGTTTCGTCTCCTGCTGACTCCATGGTAAAATATGAGTATAATGCTTCATTTATATGTTGTGTTTGATTGGGCACTGAATTTAAGAACTGTTGAAATGGGTTAGAATCTCATATTGTTTGGGGAGTGTACTGGTGGGCAATCCTCCTGTCGTGAGCTAGCTTATGCAGCTGTGTTAGGCCAAAAAGTCATATCTTTCATGATATTAGAGCAAGGTTAGTTCTTGTTTGCGCCCCATGTTATATTGGCCATGCTCCAATTAAGGCTGTTAGAGTGGGTTAGACTTTAGAGTATCACATTGATTGGGGAATGACCAGGTGGTTTCCTTATATTGACTTGGGCAAGGGGAGAGCTAGCTTTTGGGTTTTCTTACAAGAAAAAAAAATGGCTTAAACATGTCACAACATTTATATGACTATAAAAGCATGTCATTAAAGGTAAAATGGTAAGGTTAAACTTAAAGAGGTTTCAAATTTAGAAAAGGTATATTTTTTCTTGGAACTGACTAAAAAGGAAGAATATCATATAAAATGGAATTGAGACAAACTTGATTGATTGACTTGTCTGACATAAAATTGGTAAT